GAAGGGCCGGGCTGGGGCTGGGGGCGGCCCGGGAGCCCGCCGCATTGCTGCTGTTGCTGCCCAGGTTACACGGAAGACAGACCTCTAAGTGAAGGAAATAGTGCAGCTGCTAAAGGTACCAAGCGTGGGCCAGATATATGCAACATTCAGTTTCTGGTTAGACTGGTGCTTTAATGTAAGAAGATGCTAAATCCCATTGTCGAAAGGGTTTAGAGCATAGTGTAAGCCTGTAGTAGGTAGGCAGCAGTAAACATATTGACTCTTCTCAATTCAGAACACTTTTGATTATGTGTTTTGGTGGATTGCTCTGTGTATGTTTACTGAACTTCCAAGGAGAGGCAGTTTCTTAGTTTTCTGCCTGTGTTCAAGCAGCCTAGGTGTTCTTGTAGCATGTCCTCACATCATCCTCTGTAGAGGACATACTTATGCTGAACAGACACGTATAACTTACTACATGCAGTTTCTCACCTTCTGTGAAGGTATTTAAGTGCACATGTTACAATATAATTAACAATAGTGTGTTCCTTCACCCTGTTCATCTGCTTGCTGTACTCCGTGTGTGTATGATCATATCGACTAGAGCATTTGCAGGCTGCGGAGCCTTTCTGAACATGATATTCCTCAAAATTGAGGAACGAAGGCAAAAAGCGTAAGGCTGTTGGTCATTTAAGTCAGTGCACTTCCAAAAAGGTAGAGCACACCTTCCCTTCAGAAACAAGTAGTTTCCTTCAGATTTAGTTTACCTTCAGAGCAGTTCCCAAATCTGTCCTGCTGTGCAGCTTCATGAAACCTAGATGTTTGATTTAAAGCATATCTACTCGAACAAGTGTTTGGGAAGAGGATGTGGACACCCTTTCAGCAGCTGTGTGGATTTCCTCTGGGTTAAAATGACACTAACAATTCCAGGCTTTCTGCTTCTTGTTTTCAGCCTGTGGTCTTCCATCTTTTTACTGCTGGGGTTCATAGCGGGTTTCTAAGAGGTGCACAAAAGGTTACAAAGGAAAGCAAGCACTATTCTGTATATCTTTGCATAAAAGCTGAGAGAGTTTCATACATCTGTGGAGTAGGTCTGCAAGCTGAAAACTATTTTATTACTCAAGAAGTCATCACCTGTTATGCTGGATGGAAAGAGAGTCAAAAAAGCAGCCACAAATGTCTGAGGGGTGAAAACACTGAGGAGATGTTCTGTCTCTGCTTACTTATACATCGGAGCATAGGTACCCTGAATTAAAATACAGTGGTAAATGTAAACTAACAAAATTTGAAAACTGGGAAGAGGGGAAGACAGCATTCTGACACTAAAAAGGTCTCAAGTGATGAAATAATATCCTGAATGAGATAGGTTACAGAAAAGCTACTTTTTTCCCCATAGTTCAGCTGTCTTCTAGCTTATGTTACAAGAAGCAAGAAAACCTGTGGTCACAGTTCTTATCTATGATTATGAAATCATTATAGGTTCAGTCCTTATAAAGCAGTAAAAATAACTTGTTTTATCAGAAATATTGGAAGTATTTTTCTAGATATCTGTGCCAGCATGTGTTTCACAGTGAAAGCCTTCTACTGAAACTTTGACCAAGCTCTTTATTTAGAACATTATTGTTCAGTGGTTGTAGTAGTGCTAGTGAGAGAGTAGGGGGAACAGGACATGGTTATTGAACTCTATAGGAAGATAGTGTAAGAGACTTTTAGTAATGATTTGAGATAGATATAAGAATTTTCATCCAATGAACTTTAGAAATATTGAGTATAACACTTCAGAGGTAACGTTGCACAGATTTTGCTTTGGGCAAGGAGGGATGCGAGAACAGCATTTCTGTAAATCTTCTAAAGGCTCTTGCATGTTAAATATGTTTTAGTGATGCAGACGACGCAGTGGAGTTCAGTCAGTTGAATTATCAGTACTCTACTTCTCTATTTTAACTTTTCCTCTCTCATCCTTCCAATTTTTCTTATTTCTTTGTCATGATCTGTTAAAAATTCTTCACTGCCAGCTTGCCCCAGTTCAATGTTTTACTGCCACCAAAAGGGAGAGATGTTCTCTTCCCTGTATTTTATTTCTTATTCCTGCTAGCTTTTCACTGTCATTTATTGGACCTTTCTGCAGAAAACGTCATGGTGGAAAAAAGGAATTAAAATGATTTGGTGAAGAATAAATTGCAAGCTAGAACTGGAACAGAAGAGGGAATGAAGAAGGGAAAGGGAGACCATTCACCATGATGAACTGTTAGATAGGGTAAGGTTATACATGATGTCTTGAAATGAAGTCAAAAAGCTGTCATTTTTTTATGGAATCTCTTCCTTACCATATTCACCTGAGTTTGCTTCTGCCTTCTTTTAGTTTGCTGTTTAAGCTCTTTTCTGCTCTCTCTGATCTGACACATGTGTTTCGCAAGAACACAACGCATGTGTTTCGCAAGAAATAATTTATTTTTAAGTTATATAAAAAAGTTAAGAAAAAATGTCTAGCAGAGGCTTAAAGTTTTATTAATTCTTTCCATACTTCTCTTCTACCTTTGGAATGAAAGTAATGGAAGGCTTGTTATAATTTTGCTTTACAAACCGAACCTTGAGACACTTGAAAGTAATGCCACATTTTCCTTAAATGTGTTTATTCATTGACAGTTAATTCACACTTACTTTCCTTTTTTTGATGTAACTGGACAACAGGAAACTACATATGAAATGCAACTGAAGTTCTGTATTAAAATACTGTTTCTGAAAATTCTGTAATTTGGTGGTGTCATATATGTCACCCAGTGACACTGGGTTGTAGCTGTGGGTGTAGATGTGTCTTTTAAAAACAAAACCAAGCCCTCAACGCCAGCAGAACGGAAGAACTTCGATCGAAGCAAGGTTTCTTCAGAGGAATAAGAAACTGATGGGTGAAACGTATATACAAGTGTCTAAATTTTGATTTTTATTCTGTTAATTTATTTTGTGATGATGATGGTGGAGCTCACTGTTACAACCAGGCACGCTTGACCATGAGATGCTGGATGTAACAGTCCTTAAGAGACGAGGGAAATAAGGACAGTAAAAACAGCGTGCTTCAGGAAATTTCAAGAAGGCTTCAATAAATTCAGAAAATTTATAGGAGAGATTCTGTGAGCGTTTCAAAAGAATAAGTGAAAAAGGTATGTAGGACGATTGGTACTTGTCCTCTTCCCTCCCTCCCAGCTATTAAAGGCACAAGTACAAATTACCCTATTCTGGAGGAAAGCTAGGAAGTTTAGGAATAAATTAACCTGGCTAAATCAGGAACTCAAACACCTCTACGAATCAGTTTAACTATCCTGGGAGCTGGAAAAAGAGAGGAACAAATAAGCAAGCTGTAAGTATGTGGAAAATAGCAAGGTACTGAGTAAAAACCAGTATGGAATTGCTGGTTTGACAAAATTTATTCTTAATCAAAATTATTCTCTGAGTGGGCAATGCTTTGTTGATAAGAAAGAGGCGGTATTTTGACCTGAGATGTTTGATTCTTTTTGAGATCTCTTCATAAGCAAAATTTAGACGATGTGGGCTATGAATTTACTGTGTGGATGCATATAGCAGGTTGAAAACTGTTCTGAGAGGATAGTTAGAAATGGTGCCCTTTCAGCTGGAGGAAAGTATCCATAGGGATCTATCAGCTGTCCATCAAGGTACAGAACTATTCAAGGGCTATGTTAGTGATGTGCTACGAAGGGCTATATTAGGACTACGAAGATGATGAGGGGACTGGAGCACCTCTTCTCTGAAGAAAGGCTGCGAGAGCTGGGCCTGTTTAGCCTGGAGAAGAGAAGACTGAGAGGGGATCTCATCAATGTGTACAAATATCTGAAGGGAGGGTGTCAAGAGGACGGAGCCAGGCTCTTCTCCGTGGTGCCCAGCGACAGGACAAGAGGCAACGGGCAGAAACTGAACCACAGGAAGTTCCATCTGAACCTGAGGAAAAACTTCTTTCCTGTGAGGGTGACTGAGCACTGGAACAGGTTGCCCAGAGAGGTAGTGGAGTCTCCTTCCCTGGAGGTATTCAGAAGCCATGTGGACACAATCCTGGGTAGTGTGCCCTATGCGACCCTACTTGAGTAAGGGCATTTGTGCTAGTTGATCTCCAGAGGTCCCTTCCAACCTCAACCATTATGTGATTCCTCACATCTCTGTCATTTGTGGTTCAGAGAGTTTACCTCAGATCCAGTTTAGTTTGTTTCTGTGAGCTGAACATCCACATTATATGCAGTCTGAATTTCTCTGAAGTGTGTGGTGGGGGGAGTGTTAGGTAAATGCTACAATATGAAAGCCCAGCCTGCTGTGAAATGTAATATCCTATCAAGTTTTGAAGTATTTTGAAAGCGGGGATTTTAGTTTAGTTTCATTCTGAAGAAGTGCAAGTTGTCTGCGCAAGAACAACTTTGAGAACCAAAACAGCATGTGATAAACAGAGACAACAAAGGAATTCACTACAAAACCACACTGTTGCTTTGAATGGAATTGCTACTGTAGACATAGTCTGAAAAATGTCCTAAAATCTGGGATGTCCAGGTCAAACTCGAGACACTCACCACTGTATTTTGAGACCACCTTTACTTAGTCCTGGGATGGTTGTCCTGAATCCCTGATTCTGGCTGTGATTGAGTACTCTAGTGAGGGAGAGCTAGCAACTTGGATATATTTCAATGGAATATAGGGAATCACTGGGGAAATTTAAAAAGGGGTAGCAGCTGTCATGACATACAAATGTGATTTTAACAGCTATTTTGTCTTATTTTAGAAAGGTCTGAAGAATAGTAGCAAAAGTGTGAGCTTGAAAGGGTAGGACTGTTCTACTGGGTGAGTGGAGAAAGGCTTGGCAGCTTGGAAAGGCAGAGAAGGAAAATATAAAATTGAGTTGCTTACTGATACTATTTTGAGTCCAGTTGCATTAATTTTTTGAAAGAGAACCATTTTACTAGCAGAAACACAAAAGAGTTTGTAAGAGTTAGAATAGTTAATTTTTTCCGAACATCAAAGTTTAGGTGCAGTGGGACTGAAGATGCATAGTATGATATGTATCAGAGACTTTTCTTTAAAGTGGGGGAAAAAACATGATCTTCAAAAAGCCGAACCTTCAACACTACAGTGAGGTAGACTCATTTGGAGGAAAAGATACTTCAGAGTATTCTACAAGTGGAACTTTACAAGGCTACCTTAAAAAAGTGATGACAGCGATTAAATAGAGCAACTGCATTGTGCTTGTCTTGAGAGGAACGTCCTGCATAAATCATTAACTCTGAGATGACTCTTCAGTTGCCAGTCCTGAGTGTGATAGTCACTGGATGTGATAGGAGATGAGAGTAGTCAGTTGGGTAACAGTGACTGATGACTCATTTCAGTATCTCGGACAACTATTTCACTAAACGGTCTAGATTTATGTAATGCATTTTTTTTCTTATTGTATAGCGTACTGTCAGGGCATTGCCATAGCTTTGCTACATGATGAACTGTTTTTTCTGCGTAACATAGTGATTCTTAAACCATTAGTGTTTTTTTATTATAAAACATTTCTCATACAACTTATGCATTTAATACAACAAAATATATTTGATAGGAGATCACAGATTACAATTTCCTTTGAAAAGGTTTATTTATAGGACCTTTAACACCAATTTATTTAAAAGAAAAAATAGAAGAAGCTAAGAGGCCTGACGTGTTTAAGATCTGGTATAGATTTTTCATTTTTTTTTCAGGCTAGGTAATGGACAGCTTGTTTTTTCAAAATATATTTTTTTCAGTATCTTCATTTGTATTGGCATTTATTGTAATGGTTAAGAGTTCAAATGAGCGCTCCATGAAATACATGAATAGGCAAGTTTTTATAAGAACAGTAGATCAGTAACAGGAAGGCAGTTTTATATGATTATTTATCAGTGCTAAAAGTACTAAAACAAAGGACTCTGGTTGTTCTTCATTGACTTCTTAATCACTAAAGTAGTCAATTCCTGTTGAGGTTAGGAGTTATTCTAGAAAAGGCTTGAGCTTCATGTTTCCCTTTGGAACAAAAAGAGAAACAGCAGATGGATGTTAAACTTGGTTTGGAGCCGCAGCTTATCAAGAATATGTAGAAAAAGCCTGGAGCATTCTGTATCTATTGTTTTTTTTTTTTTTTTTAATATTACATAAACCCTGTATTAGAGGCCCTGTGTTGCCTGATCCTGTGATGATCTGAGCTTTAATTAAAAAGCTGGCCAGCAAAGCATGTTTTTTCAGTTTGCCAGATGAAAAACAGGGTGAAGTCATAGTAGGTAAAATTGACTTGAATTATTCCTCAGAATTTTAGTCTTTAAGTTTTATTTCAGCATGGTAGTGTATGAATTGCTGTATTTTTGGTGGTATTAAAATTGAATTGAAAGGAAAACTACATTGAAAGTTGGTCACCAATTGCTAATTTTTTTTTATTGTAAGTACTGTCTGAAAAGTGACATAGCTAAGTTTCGGTCCTAAAGTTTGCTGCTCTAATAATTGAATGTAAGCACTGACTTGCATGGAGCCCTTTTCTTTGTGTGGAATGCCCAGTCAGGTCCATGTTTAGGTCCTGTATCATGTCAGTTGTTTTCCTCTACAAACAAGGAATATACAAATAAGTAATAATCTGTACAAGGAAAAGATAATTGATTAATTGTGTGAAACATATGGGATGTTCTGAATCTTATAGAATCCAGACTATAATAGAAATATGTAATTTTTTTAATGAAGGTTAGAAAGCTTACAATTCTTCTGGGACTAAAACATTCCTCTGTGGTTGTTTTTTGTAGTCGTTGTCTGTGTGTGTTTTTTTTGTTTTTCCTGTTTTATATAGTGGCCTGTTATCTTTCAGTGTATGAGAGCTGTAGAGTAATTTTACTATTTCTTCTCCAGAATTTTATGGTGAAGACTAGGTTATGAAACATTCCCAAAATGCTGTGTAATGTATGCGCTAGAGTGCAAGGAACAACATTTTCTCTCCAAAGCATGTTTTCTGAGATTAGAGCTACAGCTCACTTTTGATTCTGAATGTTACCTTTCTCACTATATGAATGAAATATGAGGAAGGGACAGAAACTGATTCTGATGGTATGAAGCATTTGTAAATGGTATATCAAGTGTTGCAGATATTACAGATTGCAAGCTAGTTTTTCAAGTGCAGGTTAAAAGTTAATAAACCCGTTTTAATTATACATGTCTAATTCTAAGACATTAAGGAGACTCAGAATTTGAATCATGATTAATGAAAAG